AAACATTGTGTTAATCGACCGCAAAATAGTTGTTTACGCACATAATGTGAGGTTCGAACACATCGTTAGTCATTCGTATTACGTCTCACGTCAATTATCAACCGGATTGTAACAAAGTTTTTGCACTTTCGAGAAGAACTCTAATGATTTAAAAAGTTTTTTTGTTTAAGTGATTAAATTATCGATATCACAGAAGTCTTGAGCCGTATCGTTGGGTTTAGATCCTTGGAGATATAAATATATCGAGGCTCGAGTGCTAATATATCTGGTCAAAACTCTACCTAATAATTTCTTTAATATTATTTCCATACAGTCTATATTCTCGTGTCCGCTGCCATAAAAATATTTATTGTCCTCCATTCTAGGGGTAGCAAATCACTGGTAATTACCCCCACTATGTAATTAACTGCTACAAATGTTGGTATTATTTCATTTATTAAAGAAATACCCGGACTGTTGTTCTTTTTTGATGCTGTTGGCTGCAATTTAATATTGATTTTTACTTGTATCCCATGATAGTTAATACAGGATAATGTACTAAAGTCACATTTCCTCAACTTTTCTTGTTTCCATTAGTATATGTGGTATTCACGTAGTTTAGAAAAATAAAATTAGGAATGCTAGCATTTATATATGTGTAAATGTGGTAGGTATTTTCATAATTGAAATGGTGACATTTAATGTTTTTTTTTTTTTTAGAAAAAACTAAGAGCATCAAGGCATTCTACTATATAGAAGCTCATAAGAGAAAAAGTATTTGGTTACATGAAATGACTTTTAAAAAGGAAAGGAAAACTTTTCTCTTCTCTTTTTTTTTTTTTTGGTATTTTCTATTTCGCTAATTAGTTTTAAATACGTGATTGCACGCTGTTTTTGTTTTTGTTTTTTTTTTTTCACTGTAAATGTTAGAAAAATTAAGTTAATTTTTTTCTTCTTTACAACGGTATAAGATCTCTTCTTTTTTTATTTCTATTTCTGTTTTTTTTTACCACTAACAAACACCATCATCATTATAATAATAATAATCATCATCATCATCATCAGAATCATCATCGCGAATAATAATAATAGTGGTGTAATTATTTGCAATTTAAATTCAAAGACTTCATGTGGGTTTCCTTCTCTTAGGTTCTATATTTTTTTTCTTGCAATTTTTACAGTTCGTTGCTCTCCCTTCATCAACTATAAAATTATTCCCACATCCTTAAGTTCATGGATATTGTATATATAAGTATATAATGAATATGTACTTAAACATTTTAACTATATTTCAACTTTTAGTTCTAATAGATTGCAAAAAAGGATCTTTGTTACATTATGGAAGTTAAATATTTTAATGAGTTCTTAATTGAGATGTAGGTAATCTGTTGAGATGTACAAATATATGCATTAATATATATATAAATATATATATTTATATATGTATATATATATTTATATATATATATCTAGGAATAACTTATTATTTTTTTTACATTTTAATGTGTTTGTTTGCAAAGCTTTATATAATACAAAAAAAAAAAATTGAAGAAAATTTTGAAACAGAAAGAAGGAACAACTGATAATGTCCTTTTAATTAGAAATGTCTGTGAAGGTAATTATTATTTAAAATATATGTTGTATGTGTGGCATTATAAATGAATATATTCCGTGCATTTGATAAAGAAACTAAAGAGTAACTATCATCGAGCGTAAACTGATTGTATAAATAATAATGTGATAGAAAAGTCATATTTGAAGTAAGTAGGTTATCTAGAAAATTGTAAGTAAAAATAAAGTCAAGCAATAGTCGGCATTTTTTGTGGGTTATGATGGGAAAATATGTAATATGCGAGTAAGAGTATGAGCCAGTCGAATTTCTTCCATTACTTACTTACAAAAAAGAAATGACATTTTCAACTGACTTTGTTGATTGTTTTCTTTTGACAGATAATAAATTTTTTATGGAATTTGATGTACCTATGTCTATTATTTATAATTGAATTCTTGAAAATTTTTTGAAAAATTTTAATAGATGGGCGGCATTTTGAAATTGAATAGACCGCACTCTGCCGACAACTACTGTAGAATATAATAAAATAACAGGCTTTAGTTTTAAGTAATTCAGTCTGTTTATTCTCTAGGGAACGACGGCTTTCAATTTCTATGCTTCCAGAACATTTTTTAAAAATCTTATAAAACTTGAAGTTTTCACCTATATAGTTAACGCTTTTCCACATAAATTTATTCTGTCAAGTTGATTAGATTTTTGCAACCACAAAAGTAAAACATAATTATTTGCAAAAATTAGAAAAAATATTCAAGTGAATTTTAAGTTAGGAATGTATTTCAGTGTGTGCTACAATTAAAGTAAAATAATGAGCTAAATAGTATAGAATAAAACATGAAATCGATGATCTGCTATACTAATTTAGAAATTAATTGAAAAATTTATTTGATTAATAAAACGTCTCTCCTCTGGGAGTTTTGCATACCATTTTACTGTCTTAAACAAAGGTCAACAGGGATAGTGACCATTGCATTCTAGAAAATGGAAATTTCATTTAATCAACTTGAATAAATTTTTTTTTTCTATAATTACAGACTTAATTTATTAATTCATTCATTTGATATAATCATAATTAAGTTTAAATGAGTTTGTCGTCACTTTTTACGGAAAAGTCCAAAATTAATTTGTATTTGCATGATTATGAAAATTAAATGAAAAATAAACCATAATTCATCAGATATGTAAAAATAATTTTTAATATATTATATATATAGGAAAAGAAAAGGACAAAACAAAATGTAATTGAATAAGAAAAAAAAAAAAAGAAAATAAATAGAAGTTACCCGGGTCCTTTTTATTTGATTGCATATCTCTTTTGCTCATTATAAGCTAGAAATTTTTCCTTACCTTGTATATAAATGAACCGTACATATTAGGAACAAACCACGTTAGTTTATGAAAATTAATAGAGTTACCCTATTATTATAAAAGAAAAGAACAGACAAAAATGAAGAATGTTAGAGTTCATATATGATTTTGGATATCACAAGCAGTTGAAATTATTTTTTCTCTCTATAAAAACTAAGGTGTTCCCTTTAAAAAATAACATGCTGATGTCTAAAATCGAAATTAAATATTGAAACCTAACAGAGTTGGGATGCGTTCTATTATTTGTTTTTTGCCATCAAACAAAATTCAATGATGTTAACAACGTTAGAACTTCTTTCAAAATCAAATCAAATTAAACAAATTCTGTGAACTATATCGGCAACTGTAAGTCTAGATCAAAAATTGTATGCCAAAATTACGGAACTGATCACAAATCTAATTACAAAACGATTTTCCAAGTTGTATTTCAGTACAGAGTAATAAATTCAAGTCCTGTACTTGTCATATACAATTTGGTATAAATTATACTCCGTTTCGCTCCGTTTCACTCCAAAAATATTTATTAATTTTCAAGAATTGCTCCTATGAAACTTAAAATTCAACCATTTTAAAAATAATTTGGATAATCTGGTAGTCTTATATAAATATTTTCCGGTACATTTAATGGACTATGGTATTAAAATGCCAAGAAAAACGACAAACAAATATGAAAATGAAAATGGAAAAAAAAAAAGAAATTAAATCAGATAAGGCAAGGCGAAACGGTGCTAATGGTGATAACGTTGTTCTTCGCTAATTTTTTTCTTGTTTTTTTTTTTTGGTTTCTCCAAACAAGTACATATACTCTGCCTGTTTACCACATTATTTTAATTTAGGATTTTACACTTACTGTTTTTTTTTCTTTCAATTGTGTCTGTTTACACTATTGTTGTCAAGATTTTAAAATCACATAGTTACTTAGTTCTTTATATACATAGATAAACACACATAAATGATTGCATAATACAATTTTAGAGCAGGAAAATCTTAATTTGCAAATTAAAATTTCTAATGAATTTTTAAATTGAATTTTGTGTCTCGAGCAATTACATGAGAAAAACAAAATGAAGAGCAAAAAAAAATTGAATAAATTATGAAATATAGAGAAAAAAAAATGGAAAATTTATTAAATTGATATTTTCTAACCATTATCGAATTTTTTTCTCTCAAGGACAAAACAAAATTTAATTTGTTTCATTTCCTTTTTGGACATTTTGAAAATGATTAAAAAATGATCAACTGGAGACAAATCTATATAGAATACAGAAATGATTTTTTTTTTTTTTTTGGTTTTTTCGAAAATGCAAATGATTTGAATAAAATTTTTTTTTAATTGAAATTATTGATCGTATATCTAGCTATATCCTATGTTATAGCAAATAAATAATAGAGAAAATTATAAATTCAATTGATTCTGATGAAAATTGAAATCCTTATGGTATACAAATCATTATATAATTATTAAAAAGGTAGCTGAAATGTGAAAAATTCTAATTACAAAAATTTGTTTTCAAAAAAAAAAATCTATGGAATTAATGTGGAAATTAAATTCGAAATTTTGTGGCAGGCAACTGCAACCGCTTTGAAAAAGTAAGATAATTGAAATTATGAATATGAGGTATTTGAACCATGAAAACCAAATAAAGACAGTACTACTATTGTCATAGCATTAATAAATTTTACAAGTGAGTAACATCTGCAACAGTAATTTTGTTATACTATTTTGTTATACTCCCAATTTATACTATTTTGAAGTGAAATTTCTATATTATAATCATTACACTCATTTATCGAAAATTTCCCTCGGTGTAATATAACAGTAATGCATTTAAATTATTATTAAATATGATAACAATTCACTATTGTCATACATAACCGTAAATTTTAACATACAATTATTATTTAACTGTTATATTTTCTTGAAATTTATAATAAACTAATTTCCTTATAACTATATATATGAAATATTTCTATACCTATACAAAAAATATATACACAAATTTCAATATTAATATTAAAATATCATTATGTTTTATAACTGTTATATATATCAATTGATATATTACAAAAATTTAATATTTACCTGTGCAATATCCTTGCTCATACAACAAAAATTTATAAAATTCATGTTAACAAAATCACTACCAAAACACACTGAAACCGTTTTGTCTTCAAGTGTATCCTGTGATCCAATTGTTGCAATTTGACGTAATTTACTGTCCTAGAAAATATAAATAAAAAAATTAAAAATTTAAAATTAATTCATGTATACACCATAATTGAATAATTTGTTCATGTATATCATATAAATTATATATTTGTATAACAGAAAAATATTTTATTTTAGTCACTCCACCAATTATTTTAGAATTCAGAATAAGGTAATTTTTTTCGAAAAAAAAAAATTAAAGTGGGTAAAATTTATTCTATTTTTTTTCTGTATAAATTTTTATAACATTTAAAATTCAATTGAATTGATCAGAAAATAAAATATTCATGTCATTAAAATAAATTTGAAGAAGAAAAAAGGGAGCTTTTATTTTTTTTTAAAAATTCGAAAATATTTTCATTCATCTTTTCGTCATTAAATATTAAATTTGAATTTTTATTATTGTAATTAGTGGTGATTTTACGGAAATCAAAATTTTTATAATAAGTTTTCTTCGAAATGGAAACTAGCAATAACAGTGCTCAATCCGTACAAGGTTAGTTTAATTTTAATATAGAAGTCTTTTTAATTGTTGGTCAAATTGAGTGTGTGAATTATGCTCGACTAAACCTCCGCTATCACGCACATAAGAAGATATATGTTACAACTAGAAGGCGAAAATCTTCTAGTATCATGCGGAGCTAGATAAGTTTTTGTTGATTTTAATTTGAAAATGTCTTTAATCGTTGATCGAATTTATTATGAAAATTACATTCACTTTACTCTGAATCCACACGCACATAAAGAAATATATGTTACAATTAGAAATATATGCATCCAAGCGGCGTATCGCGGCTTATATTAGAGATGGCATGTTCCCAGAGGAAGCTCGCATATATGAAAAGGAAAGGCTAGAAGAGCTGAGGGCCTGCGGATCGGGTGTTGTGGCCGACCATACCCAGAAGAAGAGAAGGTCAGAAAGCTACACCCCTGATGCAGGACCCTTAAAAAAAGAGGTCGATGAAGGGCATTGTTGAGGGAAAGGTCCCTGGGAACATTCCTCAACAAAACCCGAAAATGACTTCTTATCGAGATGCAGTAGCACAGGTCAAGGTGGCCATCACTCATAAACTGCATCCAGAGGAAAGGCTATCCGAAGTCCAGATGGAGAAAATCAAAATATTAAATTAATAAAGTTGTGGATTATCATCCACAATTCACTGCAGCGTTGCAAAGAGACGGATGGATATCCATAACATGCAATAATCACTCCAGCGGATTCACCGCAGAGTTGCTGGGGATGAGCAGGAGCCGGGTTCGCACTATTGCGAATTTCTTCACGGGACACTGCCCAGTGAAATACCACCTGCGTAGGCTGCGGAAGTCGGGCTTCCCTCTGTGCAGATTTTGTGGGGGTGGCGATGAGACCGACGTGCACATTTTCTGCGACTGAGATATCTCCGGCTTTGTGGTTGGGACGGGGATATTATAGGCGGGAGCGTGGGGAGGCTACAATAAGTCAAGAATGGCTGCGGTGGCTTGGAGGGTTACTCCTGTCCCACTCGGATCCCTTAAAATTTGCAAATCTGCAAATCTGCAATCATAATTTTACCGGTACGAGTGCTGCGATATTGGAATCAAGAACCAAATATTTCGCAATCAAAGGTATTCCCAGTTTGACCTAGATGGGGGTTAGTACGGGTGCGATATATAGCAATAATGTCTGATTAGTCGACAATAGTCGGACAGCCACAAGGGCTCTGGATTCTTCTCAAATTTTCTGCCGTATAGCGGGAGACTGTCTCAGATAGCTCCACCAGCAAGGTCAGGATAATCGGATCGCATTGTACTGGGTGGCAGGAAACCTTAAACTGGAAAAAAAATTTGCTAGCGAAGCGGTGGCTATTCCTGTTATGTTTCACTGTTGTTCTTTAGCGGGATTGGACCAAGCAAATTCCGCGAGTTGTTAAGTAGAAGAGGAAAAAACAAGAGTTCGGAGCATTCGGGTTTCCTGACGGGACACAGCAGACTTAAGAAACAAATGTTCCTCGAATTCATTAAAAATGTGGGTCTCGAGAGGGTGTCCTAGGCAACTCACAGGACACATAGGAGGAAAGGCGTTTGAGTTCAATAGATCTTTTAGGTAGCGGTGACTTCAATTTGCAATCTATAATCATCAATATTGGTTTGTTCCATAAGCACACAATAAATAAAATTTCCATTACCCGTGATAAGACCCGTGATTATAAACATGTTTGGCAGTGATTAATGCTGTCTCTGACTGAAATTCATAGTTATCGAGTAGGAGTATGAGTTTTTTTTTCATTTTAAAATTATTTATTTTGTAAAATTAAAGTTTTCATATCAAATTATTTTGACTTTTTCTTTGTCTCCTTTGCCATAATTAATAATTTTCATTTCTTAAATGTGTACGATTGCTTTGGGTTTTTTTTTCTCCTTTTGTTTATCTTTGCCTTTAAGAACCAAAAAAAAAAAAAAAAATACAAAAGTATCCTTTTTTTTATCTACACTTTCATTTCATTTCTATGATCCTTCGGTTCTCTGTTTTCCTATTTACTTTTTTATTTTAGCCTCAAAATGAATTATTACTGTACAATTTTTGTTTTTTCGTTTTTTTTTTTATAATTTCCTTTCCTAAAGTTTTACTTACTCCTTTTTTTTTGTCTTTGGTTTTGTTGCTTTAAGCTTTTAATTACACTTTCTTTTTCCATTTACTATTATAAGTATTTTTTTTTTATTAAAAGGATAGAAATAAGGATTTGTATTGCTAAAAGTATCAAAAATAAGTAGAGAAAAACACCGAATAGAATGGAATTACGAAGGAAACGAAAAGACAGCACTTCGTTCTTCTCATTCTCTCTCTCTCTCTTTCTTGCTCTTTTCCTTTATGTTAATCATTTCTCGTATAATTTTCAATATCTTTCAAAATGTATTTTTATCTTTGGATACAATCCAGCATAAAATTTTTCTTTTAAAATTACTGAAGCCTGGAATGAGTTTTCATAAAAAGAAAAAATCTAAGAGTATAAAACAGAACCTAACCATCATTAGCAGTCAACCGTAGATTGTAGAAATAAAAAAAAATTTTTTTTTAACCGAAAGTTAAATTGCAATGCGTTCATTTCTTTAAGAGTGTGGTTTTTCATTTTTTTTTTATTTTTATTTCTTATGCTTTGCTTCTTAAATTCGTGTATGTACGTATAATTATACCCATCTCTTTATAAAGGTAAATAGTATATTTACATTAGTATTTGTATAAGGATATAAGACTTAGTACATTATATGCTTTTCAGTACCTGGATTCTATTTCCTCATCGACATCTGGAACTTAAATATTTTCTATTTTAATTTTTTTTAACCACAATAATTACATAAATGCTTAATATAAAATTTAACTGGAATATTACTAAAAATTAGGGATGTAAGATCATTATAAACTATAAAAATAAATGATATGAAATTGTGGAAAAGAAATGCCGTACCCAAATTAACAACAAAAAATAAAAACCACCTTTTACCGACAAAAATATTAAATGAAGCAATTAAATTCCTAGAGATTAAAATTTAAAAGTATAGAATTTTTTTTTTTTTTTGCAAAAATTTGATGATTATTTCGAATTTTTGAATTTTAAAATAATTAGTGAAATATTATTTATGAATGAATAATAAAAGTTAATGCCTCATTTGTTAATTACAGCAACAATTTGCTGTATGAATAATTTGTGTACTAAAATCATAGTTCATTATTAAATGAAACGATCATCAAGCAAATAACGCTCTTTTAAATACTAAGGTTAATTTATGGACATTAATTTAATACGAACTACAACAATGGATTGTATTCGCTTCAATCACAATGGAAACATGTACAAGATTTGCACTACAATAAAAATTTTATTGTGAATAACTGTGCCTATTCTATAGTGAAGAATCAATGAAACTGAGACAACCTTTAATAACCCTTAGAACTAAATACAAAAACAAAAACAGTAGCGTAATGATAAATGGGAATAAATATATCACAGTTCAATCTCGGTTTACTGAACAAGAACATTATTTTATCAAGGTAATCAAGTGGTTTCTACTGTAGTGCAATAATTCTTTTCTTAAATTATAAATTTTTTTTCTTTTCTCTAATTCTTTTTATTCTCATATTTATTTTTAAATATTCTTTAGTTTCATCTAGTATATATTATAAAATTGTGTTCCCTAGTATATATTATATTATAATGTTATATTATATATTATATACTATTATATTATAAAATTCTATAGCGACCCTTTTTTTCTTAAGCAAATTTTCTTGTTTCAAATCTAATTTTTCAACTCATTTTTGCATACAAATATATATATGTATGTAAAAATTATGATATATATGTGTAATATGTGTGTATGATGATATATATGATGATATATATGCATATAGCAAAATTGATATATATGGGTATATGGATTTTATCTTAAATAAAAAATGTACGATATTTTCAAATGACTAACTGACATTGATGATTCAGTTGTTAAATGGACACATTTCTTCTATAATATTTTTATATACGAACTAATAATTCAAAATGCCATTTACTAAAATATTCGATAAAGAAATGTTTTATATACGATATATATATCATGAATACATATGTACGTACGCTTCAACACTTTCAATAAAAAAAAAAAATATTGTATACAATCCTTTACCATTAAGATTACGGTACTTAAGTATACTTAAAAATCCTTACATAAGTAAAAAGAAATTTTTTTTTTATATTATATTAGTAACACATATATACCCTTATTTCAGAGATATGAAACTTGTTGCAGGTGGAGTGGGACGGACATTAAATACTCATACTTGTTATATATGGGCCGTCAAAACTTTTGAAAATGTTCTGGAATCTAGCTATTTTAACATATAATACCTCCTAATGAAGATAGCATTAACGATGAACTATAGAGGTATTCAAATTCATTCAATTCAAATAATAATCCAAAAGTCATGAACTTGTCAACTTTCAAAGTTCACACTAAAAATTTTTTATATTTTCTGAAGCTTT